ACACCACTGGAGTGGCTTCAGGACAAGTCTGTGACTGTCCTTCAGTGGGCCAGCCAAAGCCCAGACTTAAACCTCATAGATCTGTGGAGAGTCCTGAAGATGGCAGTTCACTGACAGGATCTGCCCAAATCCAGGTGTGCAAAGCTTGTGACTCACCCAAGAAGCTGTAATTGCTGCTAAAGGGGCTTTGACAAAGTTCTGAATTAGGGGGCTAAATACTTTTGTAAATGAGAAATTTCAGTTTTTGATTTTTTTAAATACATTTGCAAGAAATTCTAAAAACATTTTCACTTTATCATTGCAAGTTACTGAATGTAGACTGATGTTTATTTTATCCATTTAAAGTAGAATCTACAACACAAAGTGTGTAAAAAGTGAAGAGGTCTGAATACCTTCTGACTGTGTGTGCATTTTAAGGCGATGCCTCTGTGCCACATCCCATTCACACTAATTCTTTTCCACTGAAGACCATTCCCTGTGGTTTTATTTGATAGCTAGCTAATCAACAGTCCCATAAACAAACATTATAAATAACCGTAATGGACTTCCTATATATATGATGTTCTTCACTGCAAACAGGATCAGGGCTGCTGGATGTGATAATTAGATTGCTGAATGATACTGAGATTTGAATGAATGAAAAGGAAAGACTGGAGCTCAGAGACTCTGTTTATTGTGTTTGGGTCCCTGGTGACACATTTAGTGCAAACACACGTTTATGTGTGGATGAGATTTATTTGGAATATGAATACAGAAGGAAAGTGGCTCGGACAATAGCGTCTCCGTGTCCTGTGGTGTGGGGTAGACAAGTCGAGTCACATGAAACATTTTATGCCGAGGCCATTCATTTTAAACAAAATAAGATTAATTCTGTATTTAAAATGAAATCCATCAGTATTTTTCACAAGGACAGGGGAAAAACAATATAATAATACAACTAAATTGGATGAACTTTAACCCAGATGTATTGAATTATAGAGCCTGTTAAAGTCTGCTTTTTGACAGATATGGAGTCATTTATATTACCCTGATCACAGCTTTGAAAAACAAAAGATAATTTATTTGAATTTTGCTCACATATTATTTTCTTCCACCTCTGAAGTTTTTTCTGGAAGATCAGCTCTGGAAAGCTCACTGACGAATATGTGTTGTGTGGGTGGGAGGTGCGATGCGCTTCCTACATTTATAAATCTCGATGCCTGTTTCCATTTGTAATTTTAGCCAATCTAAGCAACAAAGGCATTGTGTCTCTCATTTGTCTTGCTTGTTTTAGTTTTGTTCATTTATATCTTTGATCCACCTGACACACAGTGCTTTTCTTTTCATGAGCCTTTGATTGTTAGACGCAATTTACAATTCAACCTTGCTGTCAGTTTTTTTTATAATGCTGCAGTTACTGTGTTTCTAACCACGACTTTGCACTTTACATTTATCATGTGGATCACTAACACCTAAGAGTAACAATTTTCAGGAGTAATGAATGGTTATTCAGTCAAATCACAGACCAAAGGCAATTTAGAATCAAATTTAGTCTGAAAGCATTTGCAAGCTGATCATGTGGGTGAGGAAATCGCCATCAGTTAAGCTAATGGAATTTCTTTATGATGATTTCAAATATGTTTTATGTTCTGCAGATAGAAGCAGCAGGAACATTCCCTCTCTGTAAAGCCATAGTTAGCTGCACAGAGCCACAATGTAGGGTAATTATATGCAAATCATGTTAGTAACATGTTAATGACTGATTTGTGGCTTTATGTAAAAGATCTTTTTTGTTTTAAACAACAATAATCCAGTTGTCTGAGCTCAGCTGAAGCATAGACTTCTGATTAGTTTTAATAACCAAGGTCAAGCTGAAGGAAGTGGGGTTGGTATCATTATAATAAAGTATTGATTTAGGTTTCTCTGAGACAGGTCTGTTGAATTTTAAGTGACTGGAGGCTCATGGACTCATGTTGGTTTCATAAGACCACTTTTATGTTTCTCAGCTCTGATCAAGGTTAGTGGAGAGTATACACATATCTTTACACTCTTGCATCATCTTTAATGAGCTTTGATGCACATATCACCTTTGTTGCTGAATAAAAATGTTGATGCTTTTTAGTCATGCTAGCAGTGTGGCTCTTGGGATGGCATTGTTGGTCTGTCTGTCGGGTCCTAATGACTTTGGTGAACCCCTGACCACCACTAGGTGACATTTTTCATTTATCGGTGATTTACCTACATTAAACATATACCTGATGGACTGACACAAAATCCATGCTTCCCAGATAATGTATCTTGTTGACTTTGGAGCTACATACTATATGCATTTATGGATTTGAGTAAAATGTCATGAGATTTGTCACATTCATGCCCTAGAACATAACTTTCGAATGCCATCTTCAGGTCAAACATTTAAAATGGATTTCCTCATCAGCAGCAGCTGCACTTTGTGTTTAGTGCTAATCTGCAGATGTTAACTTACACGTGATTACCGTCAACATGTTAGCATTGTCACTGTGAGCATGTTAGCTTGCTGACATTAGCATTTAGCCCAAAGCAGCACTGTTAGCCTCAGTGAGCTGCTAGCACGGCTGTAGACTCACAATACCTCTGGTTTCTTCTCACATAAAAAACGATTGGTTGTAAATTCACAGGTTACCCCCACCCCACCTCCACCCCCACTGATGCATATCATGCCAAGTACACAATCTGAGAGATTAATGCAAATATCATGCTGCTTGTGTGCTACAGAACAATCCTAATTTAACCAATATCAATTATAAAGCTCCAGTAAAGTGTTTGTGGAATTTAAAGCAACAATTAATCATTGTTTTTCATTTTTATTCATTACAAATGACAAGCATTACATTTTGTCTCTGGCATGGGTGGTACCAGGGGTACCAGTTAGATATCCCCCGCCCCTTGCTCACCCCCTGGCTCTGCTTATGCCTACCACAATCAAAGTTTGCTTTATTGCTTTATTTGAATGTTTTTCATGCCTACTACTAATAGCAATCTTATATCCAAAGTGCTGTGTAATGTACAGTAGGATAAACTAGGGATATAGTCCATACAGGTTACAGTAACCTGTAGTTCACTCTAATGATTTTTCTTTGCCTGTGAACATTTTATTTTGTGAGATTAATTTTGCTGAATGAGTTCTCATGCAGCTTTTTTAAAATCAGTCTTTTTCCCGTGTTGCCACAGGTGCAGATTCCCACAGTGACCTGAGCTCAGTGAGCGGTGGTGTGCCCTGGGATAGCAGAGAGACATCCCTGGCTGCCTCCACAGCTGCCTCCCTGGCCTCCTCCCTCCCCCTGAGGGACGTCATGGATGCGAACGAAGACATTAAGCACAAGGACCACAGCGACAGAGGCTCAAATGATTCTATGGGCAGCGGCTCGTCCTTTGAAGAGCTTGACATGGATCAGGAGGAGGGAGAAGAGAGGGAAGAGAAGGAAGATGGGGAAGAGGAACAGCTCCCTGAGGTTGAAAATAGAGCGACTGAACTGGCGGCCGAGAAGACGGAGACCTTGGGGGATGGAGAGGAATAGAGAGGATGCTGAAGAGAGAAGGGAAACGGCCATGTATCACTGGCATGCTAGAGAATTTCTCAGTTGTTGCTGTTGCTGGTTATCTGTCATGTAATCTTATTGGTGGATCTAAAGCTGTTCATGCCATGACCAACATGCCATATTTCTGCACCTTCTTATTCTCTTTCTGAAGCCTGTCATTTTTGTTTTATTGCAATCTCATTAAGAACATGTATGATCCTATATATTTAAACTCTGTCAGGCTATAACAACAGACAACCACACAGGATGAAGTCTTCTTGAGTAAACCCAATTTTCTTTGCACGTGATGTGCAGCAAATGAGAGTCGAGATTTGTCGAACTCTAAATTTCATTTCAGAACTATAACCTTGTTTGAATCACCACCATTCCTGTTCAGATTAGAAGTGACACTTCATTTTAAGATTAACGTCGTAGGAAAGAAACCCAGACTATGAATCATCATACACTGTGTTTTTGCCCATGTGTAACAGTTGTTATTGTAGCCCACTTTCAAGGTTAAGGAAGTTTATATCACGTGTTTGCGTGCATTTTCCAGCTTTGATGTCCTAATATATTGTTATAATTGGGTGAAAATGTGCAGAAACTGACGTAGAAATTTTTGATGGACCTATTTAATTGTGTTATTTTTTTTTTCTGGTTTGGAAACCATCTGTCACACAGAGGAAATTCTGAAGTTTGAGGCAGTGAAAAAACTTCAACACCAGCGAGGACACCAGTAAAGTAACTCCAAGTCCCTCAGACTAAACAGACTTTAAAGATGAATGTGTTTTTCCCTCTGAAACTGTACAGTCCATTTCATATTCTCTCTGCTCTCAGATTATTCTTTTTTTAACATAATATCCTCTTTTATAGTTGGTTTGTTAAAAAAAAAAATTCTAAAGTTCTGTTTGTAGCCAAAACTCACTCACTCTCAGAGACTAGATGTGATGCGTTCGTAGGCTGAAATTGTTGATACTGTGAGACACTGGAAACAACATCCCACACATTGCCATGATTGTGTCTGTCTGTAATAAAAATTTCAAACTAAAAGTTGGACAGTGGACAAGAATCAGTTGTGCTTATCGTTTTGGCACAAAATTGTATAACTCTTATTCTATAAGGAAGCCTGTTTTTAGGTTTCTAACTCAAAGCCACATCATTACTGTTCGAGTCTGAGGACAGTTCTTATCAGTTTTTATCTGTCAGTTTCCCAACAGAGATGAAGTAACAAAGTGTTGGAGGCAGTGGGACACATTATTATTCAGAAGTTACTGAGGAGGAGGAGGAGGAGGAGGCAAGCGTCTCTCAGCCTGTTAAGCTCCCTCTCACGCGTCTCTCAGCCTGTTAAGCTCCCTCTGAAATTCAAACTGTCTTCATGGTTTCACATTGTAATGTTTGCCAGTGCTGCCACTTGTGTTGGGAAGGCACAGTGCATGTTGAGCAACTTAAGCACTGCTGCTTTAACATTTTCTTGAGGGAGTAATTTCCCCTTAAAATGTTTAATCAATATGCACAGAACGGGCTAATATAAACGTGGGCACCTTTGGGAAGGGCAAGCACTCTTAACAGTTATATTATAAAATGTTATTGTATCCATATTCTGTCACCTTAGCAAGAGCTCCATTGATCTGGGCAGCGTTTGATTGAGCAGTTTGGCATTTGTGTCGCAGTTTATTCTGTCAGCTGTGTGTACACTGAAGAGGAATGATGGACTCCAGCAGACTACTGATACATTGATGGAAATATGTTCTTTAGCAAGTGAGGATTATGGCCTGTAATTAAAAATGTTTTCTTTTAGATCCAACACCCCTACAATGAATGTACTGATTAGTACACCATCAACCAGAGAGAGAGAGAAAGCAGGCCAAAATAATACTAATTAGCTTATAGCTCATATCATATATATACTGCAGATACTCTCTTCCTTATATCACTAGTCCACCAGAGAATGCTTTAATACAATTCTCTAAAAAACAAATGGATCTAATATGTTGTGAATACAAATATATGATAATATACAAATATGAAGTTTATTTTGCTTAAAACTGTCTATCAGTAGCATTATCTTCCACAAAAGGTCAGTATTGGTCAGGCTATTTATTGTAGACTCTTCCAAAGTGCAGAAGAGGACACAATCTAGGATGGAGGAGCTGTACTGTAGATGAGTGACAAACTAAAGAAAAAGGCATAAATAAATGAGCTGAAAAACAACGTATTTACTTCCATAAAAGACACAAGGGAACACTGAATTGGTTGAGCAGTAGCCTGTGAATCACATGCGGTGTCCTTCACACCTATGGGACATTTTGGATCTTCACTATTATGTGTTCACATTCCTTTTCACTGCATCATCAAAACACCAAATGAGGAAATATATATTAGAAGGGTTATCCTTCCCATTGCAGCATTAAGAAAAATTCTTTGCTAAGGAGCACTGGAGTTCAAGAGGGGCTCCTGAAAGTCTCTAGGACATGTTTTGTTTTGTGATTCCTTTAAATTGTCCCCCATCTGTACATTGTTCTGTTCTTGCAGATCTACAGAAGTGGGGCGACAACTGTTGCTGTTCATCTAGGAGAGAAATTCACCAGACGATTTAGCCACATGTCACCAAAGCTGTTTGAAGCATGCCCCTTAGCATTATTCTCTGCTTCGCCTATTATGTTGGTTGCTACTGCCTACAGAGGTGGCATCCGTCTGCAGGGACAGATGCCCTGTCCACATGTCTGTTGCACCTTCAGTTTTAATCTTGGCACCCAACCTTTATTCAAAGGCAAAAATGAAAATCTGTCTGGAAGTGACTGCGATGACACACTGGGTCAACAACTGATTTAATTAATTGTGAAACCCACAGGGATGCCATGCAGCTTTGAGGGCACGAAGACTATTGCTTTCCCGTGATGTTAATTATTAATCTCATTACATTGCACATGGAGAGAGAAAGGCGAGATGTCTCAACACACAAATTTAGATGCCGACCTTTGTGTGTCTGCGGCTTTTGTCAAGAGAGAGAAACGGGACTCAGCTCATCCCTCTCAAAGCGCATGTCCCCTGCGCGCATCACTGTGCCATCTGGGACTGACCTAACGCTCTCTCGTGCCGTGTCACAACTTGTTTGCGTATCCCAAACGAAGATTTCCACCGCTTTAGATAAGCGGTCTCTTGTAACAGAATGCACCCACCTCCTGGCCGCCTGAACAAATAGAGGGCGACTCTTAGAGCTTCTCCTCGTTGATATTTGCATGCGATTCAACAGCTTTTCCAGAAGGAAAGCTGGGAGAAATCACACAGTCTTTTCCGTTAGGGTCTAAATTACATAGTGTTAATTTGGCATACAGTTGCGATGAGGCACACTGTCATCGGGACTGCCTTTGCATGGAGCAACTGCACCTTCGTTCAAGTGTCCAAACGTTTAGAGAGTTGAGGCTCTCCTACTTTGGTGCACATATCCGTCAGCCGATATATTTGAAAATAGTGTTGCCAGTTTATTGACACGCCTACTCGAGTAACAGGTAGAATTTAAACTTTGTATCCGAATCCCGGATTCTTTGCGCGCCTAAGCAGATAAGCCTGCATTCTAACAGACTCACACACGTCACCTTTTTCCTAGACCGGCCTTTACATTCCTGACGCTTTCATACTTGATGCCAAGAAAGTGAAACGTAGGCTACTTTTCCATCTGAACAACGAATTGGGGCGCCAGTTGCGTTTTTTAAAAGCGTGTTTAAGAACTGTGACTTTTAAACCGCCATCAGCAGGATCAGACCCCCGGGATCCGGTGGCTCGTCGTGTGGCTGTGTTTTTCAGCACCGCGGACAGCTCCCGCATCGCGGCTCGGCTGCATGCGGCTCAAACTTCAGGTGACACTCTCCTCCTTTATTCACTCACCCTGCTCCAGTGCAGTTTACAGCCACACTGGTTTCAGCCATTGAAAACCCAGAGACTCAACACTGCTGCGAAGAATATGCGCTGGGTTAACACAGTCCTTTCATTGCACGGCAGCGCTAGAAACTGAGGAGCCCCTGCACAGGTAAGATGTTGCATTTTGTTGTGCCAGCTGATTTGCACGGAATGCCTGAGGGTGCATTTTTGTGAACTTCTATAATAGGAGCTGGTTTGTAGAGAAGACAAACTAATTCCGTTAGTTCAGGTTTGGATTTGTTGGGAAGTTGACCTCATGTTTTATCTTTTTACATTCATTGTCACGTTCCTGTGATCCAAAAAGAGAGAGATTACTGCGTAATTAATGATTTTCTGGGAAGGGTTTTTTTTCATCTTAGCAGTTGTTTATTTCCATAAATGATGACCAGATTTTTGCAGCCTCTGACTCCAGCCATGTCTACTTGCTGCACAACCTTCCACATGTGCGGGGCTGCTAGAAAACTACTAACCA